CTTAATCTTATCAGGCAGGGGTCTCCAGACCCCATTCCTTACATGTTACTAATGGAAAATATTAATGGACTGAATTGTGTCCCCTCCCCCCTCAAATTCATATGTTGAAATTCTAATCCCCAGTATCTCAGAATGTGACTATATTTGGAGATAAGGCCTTTAAAAGAGGTGATTAATCACCTGTGTGTCTCAGTTGGTTAAGCATCCAATTCTTGATCTCAGCTCAGATCTTGATCTCAAGTCTACTGGGCGTAGAGCCTACTTTAAAAAAATCGGATATTACTGGTGTCCTTCTAAGAAAAGGAGATTTGAACACAAAGAGACACCAGGGAGGCTCATACACAGAGGGGAGACCATGCGAGGACACAGAGAGAAGACAGACATCTGCAAGCCAAGGAGAGGCCTCAGGAGAAACCAAACCTGATGAAACCTTGATCTTGGACTTTTTGCCTCCAGAACTATAAGAAAATAAATTTCTGTTGTTTAAACCACCCAGTCTATGATATTTCGTTATGGCAGCTCTAGCGAGCTAATACAGAAAAGAAACCATAGGTACTACAGGTCTCTTAACTACTTCCCAGTTTCCAGCATGGCCCCCATTACGTCGTCCTCCATCTGCTTGGCTGCCTTGACCAACCAGCTTGATAAATGTAAATCTGGCCGTGTCTCTTTCCTGCTTGAAACCCTTCAATGGCTGCCCATCACCCCTCACTCTAAAATTAAAAAACCAGGGGTGGCTGGGTGACTCAGTCATTAAGCGTCTGCCTTTGGCTCAGGTCATGATCCCAGGGTCCTGGGAACGAGCCCCACATCCCTACATTGGGCTCTCGGCTCAGCAGGAAGCCTGCTTCTCCCTCTCCCACTTCCCCTGCTTGTATTCCCTCTCTCTCACGGTCTCTCTCTGTCAAGTAAATAAAATCTTTTAAAAAATAAAATACAAAAATGACAAGGTTACCCACAATCTGACCTGCCTCTCCAACTTCATCTGCTACTGGTCCCCTACACCCTCTAATCGCCAGTTTCCTACTACATTACACTATGTCCCGCTGCTCCAGGCATGCAATGCTCTTCCCTCACTCCAGCAACGATCACCCCCACCTCAAGCATCACCAGCTCTATAAAGCCAACCTGGACCCTCACTGCCCACTGGCCACACACAACTGATCACCCTCTCTCTGTACCACATTTTTACCTTAAACAAACATGCACAATATTGTAAATATGAGTCTTTCCCTTCATTTAAAATGAAAGTTCCTGAGGTGCCTGGTTGGCTCAGTTGGTAAAGTGTCTGCCTTTGGCTCAGGTCATGATCCCTGGGTTCTGGGATCAAGCCCCGCATCAGGCTCCTTACTCAGGGAAGAGTCTGCTTCTTTCTCTCCCTCTCTCCTCGTCCACACTGCTCGTGTTCTCTCTCTTGTGCTCTTTCTCATGCATGCTCTCGCTCTCTCTTTCTCAAATAAATAAATAAAATCTTAAAAAATAAATAAATGGGGCACCTGGGTGGCTCAGTTGGTTGAGTGTCTGCCTTTGACTCGGGTCATGAGCCCAGCGTCCTGGGATTGAGTCCCACGTGGGGCTCCCTGCTTGGTTGGGATCCTGCTTCTTGCTCTCCCTCTGTCCCTCCCACTGTTCTCTCTCTCTAATTAAAAAAAAAAAAAATAATTAAATGAAAGTTCTTTTCAGTCATATGCCATTTCTTATTCATCCCTGACACCCAGATTCCCACACAGTATATTAATGCACAGGAGGTAGCTCGTATTCTCTCCTAACCCCATGACAGTCTGGCCGCCATCATTAAAGCTCCACAGTAACTTCCTTCTCCAAGGTCCCCAGCACCACCACCTTGTGGCTACATCCATTCTACACTTTTCAATCCTTTCTTGCCCTTTCTGCACCATTTGACTCTGCGTCATTCTCTTTTCTCCAAACTTTCCCATTCCTTTGCTTTTCCTCGTACTCTTCCAGTGGCTCCCCTTCAATCTCATTTGTGGATTTCTCTTCTGTCCATCATTAAAACATTGGGTGTTTTGAGGGTTCCGTATTTGGCTGTCTTCTCTCGACACTCAGCACACTCTGTTGGGGCTATCCCTGCTATTCCCATGACTTCAGCTAGCACCTTTTACTGATGACTACCAAATCCCAGTCACCAGCCCAGAACTCCTTTCTAAACGCCACACCCATATACACAACTCTTTGCGGGCATCTCTTCTTACATGAAAATCAGAAAAGAAAGCACGGGCTCTGGAGTCAAGCTGCTTGACTTGAGTTCAAAGCCTTGCTCTATCAATGACTAAGCTATAGGATGTTGGGCAAGTTACTTACCTCTCTGTGCCTCAGATAGTAATGAGGGTTTTACCTTATGGGTTTGCTGTGAGAATCAAATGAGATCATCCAGGTACAGCACTTAGGGTAGTGCCTGGAAATGAATAAATGTTGGTAGAAGCAGTAATGAGAGCTCTTCTGAAGGCTCAACTCAGCAGATTCAGAAGTCAATCATCCCCATAACTGAAACCTTTTCTTTCTTCTTTGACTCAAATCCCTGTAAACGGCACCACTATCTCTCCAGCCGGAAACCTGGGTGTTATCCTTTCCTGACCACCGCTGCCTTCCTATCCTATCAGGGGCTCATCCTTGACTCGACTTTCCTTCCACATACCTAGGATCTCCTGAACCTTTCCGATGTCCAGACTTTAGACATTCATCCAGTCCGTAGAACAGTCCTGCAAAGTAGGTGCTATTATTACCCCCTCTGTTTTGCAGATGCAGAATTTGAGGCACAGAAAGTTTAAGTAACTCGTCTAAGATTATATGAGTGGCAAAGGCTGGGACGCAAATCTGTGCAGTCTGCTTTTAACCTTCATGCTCACAAACCCGGAGCCGGGTGCCCTACTGCTTCTATTGTTAAGACTTACACATTCTGTGGTTGGTCTCATCTCCCCTGCCAGACTCTGTTCTTTGAAATCAGGGATTCTTGATTTGTTTACAGCATCACCTTCGGTGACCAGAATAGCGCCTGGCAAACAATGTGCGCTTAATACACCCAGTGAGTTAGAGACAAATTATAAACAGGGAGAGGCGAAAGAAGAGCCATCAGGTCGCGTTCAGTTATGGCCGGAGATTTTTGTTTGTGGACTAAGTTGTTTTTTTCTTCTCTATTCTTTTTTTTAATGTGAGGATAACAAGGAGAAGATTGAAGTCAAAGATGAGCAGAGGTTGATGTTAAGAAGATATTAATAGCCACTGATTTAACAGTTGTTGTAGGGCACGTGCTATAATCCTTTTAAGGAAGGATTCACAGACTGTGGCGCAGTCACTACCCATTTTTTAAAACTGCTTTAAAAAAAAAAGAGGCCACTACCTACGCTCATGTCACTCAAATGATGTTTAAAGGACCCGATTTGGGGTGCCTGGGTGGCTCAGTGGGTTAAGCCTCTGCCTTGGGCTCAGGTCATGGTCCAGGGTCCTGGGATTAAGCCCCTGGCATCTGGCTCTGCTCAGCAGGAAGCCTGCTTCCCCCTCTCTCTCCGCCTGCCTCTATGCCTACTTGTGATCTCTCTCTCTGTCAAATAAATAAATATTTTTAAAAAGGACCCAATTCCAGTGCTGCGCACGTCAGCTTCAGATGGAGTATCATGCTGGATCTGAGAATTAAAATTTAAATTGGGGGACAAATAAAAACTGTAAGCTCAAGCTGGGCTCCAATTTGCCCCGGGGGGTCAGTTGAAGTGAGCAGTCAGTTTATAATCAGCAATGCCTGGTGTGCACTGAGTGCTGTGTGAATTACTGTGTCATAAGCCGACAGACATGGCTTTTTCTCAAACAGTAGCAAGAAAAATGCTTGCTGTGCAGACCCTGGGCAGCCCCAAGAGAGGGAAATGAAAACTCCGTGCCTACATTTGTCTCTTTCCTTTTCATCTCCTCTCTTTGAGGCCTTTCTCCTTTCCACCCCAGGGTTATTTCCTTAATCTTCCTGACCCCATTTGCTCGGTTCCGACCTGTGCCACTTTGGAAGATCTCTCCGAGGCACCTTGGGCTCAGCAAAACCATGTTCTGTGTTTCTCCCACTGGGTAGTAAACCAGTGCCAACCCAGGCTCTGAGCCTCGTTGCGTTGATCAGGCAGGAGTCAGGCAAAATGCTGCGCGTCTACACACCCCAGCTCTCCCCAGAGATCCGGCATCAGGGCCAGATAAAAAAAGAGAGCCTTCCTCGTTCTCTTTTATCCTTAGATGGCCTTCATGGAGAGTAATTAATCATTATTTATAATTGGTAATAAATTACGGTTTAGAGACTCCGGGCACAATATAAATATTTTCCCTGCAAGCCAAGTTAGAAGAAATCTCTGTCTAAAACGAGATGGAAAACAGCAGTGAATCAAAGAAAGTCGAACCGGATGGTCCCAAGCACTGTCGGGAGAAGAACAGCGTAATCTACGTCCGCAATTATGGGCCTATAATAGTAGGATCGTTTTCAGCCCGTTTCCGCGTCCTGCTGGGCAGGCGTTGGCTCAGATAAGGAAAAAGAGCCAAACAGACCTGGGGGGTGGTGGCGAAGAAACACCAATTATTTTTGATGCCTGGTAAACAGCCTGCGCCAGAGGATAAGGCTTTTCTGGCTCTCAGCTATGCTTTCTTCCCTTTCCATGTGTCTGTCCTCCTCCCCTGAAGCTGCGGGGCGGGGAGGTCTAAAAATAGTCCATGAATCACGGCGGGTAATGTTGTGCAGCGGTTACATAAACAGCCAGCCGGGCACCCGGGCCGAGGGTAGGAACGGAAATTATCTGGGTCAGGGTTGTCACTCCGAATAGGGTCCCCCGCAGTCCGCCCGCGGGAGGCGCGGCCGGGGCGGAGGCTGGGGCCTGTGGCCGGCCGGGAGCTGCCTGGGGAGCGGCGGGCGGCGGCGGGCGGGAGCAGCAGCCCCGGGCCGGGCGCGAGCAGGGCGGGCGAGCCCCGCGCTCTCCCCATGGCGGGGAGCGGGCCGCGGCGGCGGCGGCGCTGACGGGCCTGGGGCGGGGCGGGGCGGGCGGGGGCTTGGGCCGGAGGGGGAAGATGAGCGCTCTCCTAGAGCAGAAGGAGCAGCAGGAGAGGCTGCGGGAGGCCGCGGCCTTGGGGGACATTCGGGAGGTGCAGAAACTGGTGGAGAGCGGGGTGGATGTGAACTCCCAAAATGAGGTCAACGGCTGGTAAGTGGGGAGCGGGGGAGGCCTAGGTTCCAGCAGCCGGCCGGGGCCCGGGGCGCTGGGCGGGCGACCGAGGCCCGGCGCTGCCCGCGGACGCCCATCAAGGCGTGGCCCGGCGCCGGGGCCTTTGAGGCCGGGCGCTCGCGAGGCCGGCTCGGGCCCCCCCGACCTGCGCGGTGCGGTGGGGAGCGCGGCCTGCCCCAATCCACGCCCACGTGGTCCTCCCGGGGCAGCGCCCACCCGAGCCCTGCCCGCCCCTCCACCCCGCCCTGCCGAGCCCCGCACCCCGCCTGCGCTCCCCTGGCTCGCTGGGCCGGAACCCTGGCGGCCACGATTCCAATGATTCGCACGCTCCTATGGAGCTCACCCCGGTTCGAGTGTTGAATTATTTTGCCCTAGGAGTTTCTGGAGAACACACCTGTACAGAGCAAAACGCATAAGCAACCGAGCAAATACGAATCTTATAAATTAGCACGATTTCTTTTCCCAAGACCGGAGAAACAAAAACAAAAACCCCAATCACTTGCATCACTATTCTGTGTCTCTGTTGTCTCACTGCACCAGTGGTTTGCTGCTGCCTACGGCTGCCTGTTGAGGGAAGACTTACTCGTTTATCCCATGGAGTGTTTAGCTTTATTTAATGACAATCTTAAATACAGAATTTGAATCAAGACTCTAGATGGCTGCCTGTAGACTGAGTCCTTCCCAGTCTAAAAGGAGTGTCATTTTAGGATGTGCTGGTCAAATTTTTAGTGTTAAGTTCCCGAGTGTGGTGTCATTCTGTCCTCTTCTCACTTAAATTTTAAATTTTTATTTGATCCAAGTATCACTTAACCAGCCTGTTTAGCTAGCTTAGAGTTAAAGTGAGCTTGGAAAGACTTTATTTTTTATTTTATTTTTTAAGGCTTTATTTTTTTTTCTAAGATTTTATTTATATATGTTTGTGTATGTATATATATATATACATATACATATATGTATATATATATATACAGACAGATCACAAGCAGGCTGAGAGAGAGGTGGGGAAGCAGGCTCCCCGCTGAGCAGAGAGCCCAGTGCTGGGGCTCAGTCCCAGGACCCTGAGATCATGACCCGAGCTGAAGGCAGAGGCTTAACCCACTGAGCCACCCAGGCACCCCAAGGCTTTGTTTTTTAAAGTGGAATCATACAGTTTGGAACTGAGAGGGACATTAGAGATGGGTGGTTGAGTCCAACCACAGAAAATAACCAGCCCTAGGTCACACAGCTATTAATAAGATAGCGGGGACCACAACCATTGTCTCCTGACTCCCTCACAAAGTTACCTACCTCCTAAGGAGAACAGCCGGGGATAGCCCACCAGAAGGCCAGGAAACATTAGCTATTCTCATTGTGTTTTGTTTTCTTTAAAAGTGTTTGTAAACAAGCCTGCTGTCCTATGTGTACCTTTTCTGTGGCTCTCTGGTTCGCAAGCTGTGACTCACTGTTTTGGCAGTGGGAGGCAGTGTTGTGTAGAAGAAGGAGCCTGGTCTTTCCCTCAGGTTCTTCTCCCTTTCCTGCTTTAGCTAATACAACCTTGCCTGAGTCACTTCATTTTCCAGCTGAGAAGAGTGTTGTGACCACTGAAGGGGAGGAAGCATTGTAGGAATCACTAACATTTACTGAGTTTGTGACATAAACAAGGCTCTGAGAGCTTTGCCTCATTATCTCATTCACAACTACTCAAGAACATAGATGTTACTCTCTCCATTTTACAGATGAGGAAACTGAGGCCCAGCAAGATTAAGTAATTTCCCCCAAGGTCATAGAATTTACTAGAAAGGAAGCCAGCATCTGACTCCAGACCCTACTTTCCTAATCATGATGCCTGCCCCATAAGAGGTGCTCAGTATATGTAAGCTGAATTTGAGGAAGCTCCTCATCCATCCAGGAAGGTGTCTGTTAGGCACCTCATGTTGGAAGTTCAAGGTTGCATTCCTGATCTCCCCTCCTCCCCCTACCACCCCAGGCCTGCTCCTCGAGTCCTACTCATCTGAGTAGGTGTCTGAGGTGCATGGGCCAGAGCTCTCGGTGCCCTTCTTGCCTCCTGTCTTTCCCTCATATTCCACATCTGGCCAGTCGGCTAATTCTGCCAGCTTTACCTACAGCGGTGGTCGGAATTGGACCACTTCTCACTAGCTCTACCTCTACACCTCTGGTACACGGCCACCATCATCCTGTTGCCCGGATTCTCGCGGCCGCCCCCCAACTGGTTTCCTTGCGTCTACCCTTAATACCCTGCAGTCTTTTCTCAGTACAGCAGCCAGAGGGAGCCTGACGGAAAACGTAAGTTGTAAGTCGGATTGTTTCACTCTTCTCAGAACCCTCTCATGGCTGCCATCCCACTCTGAGTAAAAGCCCGCAGTCCTAGAGTTTCCGCCTCCTGTCTGCACTGTCCTCTCTCCTTACCTCTATGCCTCATCTCTGAATTTGACCCTTGCTTCCCTCATTCTGCTCCCCTGCCCTCCAGCTTTTCCCAGAACACCGGGCATGGCCCTGATTCAAGGCATTTGTGTTTTTTCTTCCCTCAAAGTCTAAAATGCTTTTGTTCCCTCATCTCCTTCAGGTATCAGTGCCCATGTCACCTTGGTGAGCCTCTCCTCAGCCCTTTATTTAAAATGGCACCGTGCCCCTCCCCCGCCTCTGGCACTCCCTAGTCCCTTCTTTTGTTTTATCGTCCCTGTAAAGCTTAATCACCACCTAGGGTACTGTTCAGCTCCCTTATTTGCTGACTACCTCTGTTTCCTCTTCTGGAAAATGAGGGGAATGTTGATAACAGCACTTAACTCAGGGGTTGTTCAGAGATCGAATGAGTTAATAGATGTGAAGCCTTTAGAACAGTGTCCTCCGTGTAAAAAGCATTAGATCTGTGTTAACTGTTGTTTTCTTCTTATTAAGCAGTGTGCTGAGTAATGGGATATAAAGGTTACCCTCAAAAAACATAGCCTCTAGCATAGAAAAACAGAATGGTAACTGCTTTCAATTTGTAGTTGCTCAATAACCACAATTTCAGCACCGATGAATGATGGCCAGTGCCTCTGGTCTGAAATACTTTCCCCGGACTAACCGGATAGTCTGACTGCAAATTTAAAGCCGAAAGAGTTGAAGTTCAGAGAGAGGGTTCCCACAGCAGTTGTAATTCAAGGGTGTGCATACCCCCTTGGCTTTAAGGAACAAGTATAATGGCTCCTGAAAAAGTTGAAAGTGCTCCCTAGCTGAGTTATGGCTGCTCAGAGCCACGCAAGTCTGGGCTGTAAATGATGATCACTCAGGGCATGGGGTTGTGGGGAATCACGCCACATTGACTCAACCCCACTTTACATGGTGATGCTTTAGTTAGTTGGTTTTCCCAGAGGGTCTCAGACCTGCTGGCAGTAAATTAGCTTCTCTAGTCTCAAGCTTGTCATGGACAAGTGATTTACTACCAGCAAATGAGTAGTTTATTTCCAAAAGGGAATGTATTTTTCTCATCATGCTCCATTCATTTTTGAATGGCCGCTTATTATCATTATTCACTCTTCAAGCCTGTGCCACAGACACACACACGCACACACACACACTCACTCACTCAGCTGCAGTTTGCCCACGATCAAGGATGTATTGGCTCCTTCCACTCGGAGCAATGTCCACCTTGTTCTTGGTTCATGTGTTCAGTGGCGAAGTGCCAGTATGTCCAAGCAGACACTTTCTTGTCTTCGTGAGCTTATATTTCGGAAGCCGAGATCAAGCCTCTTCCCTTATTTCTCCCAAAATGGCAATCTTTTCTTCATAGAGTATATCTTAAAGGTACCCAGATAATCTAATTCTAATGAATAATAGCGCAGGCTAGCCCTCTGAAATATCAGTGGAGTGGCTGGCTTTCTGTAAGTCAGAAATGTTTAGGAGGCCAGGGCAAATCAGTGTCTCCCTGGAACCCAAGGAACTGCCTGGATAGTTAAACTTCCAGGTTGGTGACCTGCCCCTCACTACTGAACATACTCTTCTGTTCTTTACAATATTGGCTTATTTGGCTGTAAGCTCTGAAGATATTTACCTCTGTTCAGTTAGAGAATTGGTGAGTGAGGACATTTCAGAACAGAGGGGAAAAATATTTTCCTTCTTTAATATCATTCAGCTTTTGGCAACTGGGGATGAACTTAGTAACTTTGAATCCTTTCATTTCTGTTAAGATGGAGTTTTTAACTGGCATGCTAATTATATTTCTATGTGTTAATAGCCCTTCAGAGTATGCATAAACCCTATGTGTACAATAGTAAATAATTAGTTTTACTTAAATGAGGCTAATATGTTAGAAGAGTTTGTTCTTTTTTCTTCTTCTTTTTTTAATCTTTAAAAAGATTTTATTTATTTATTTGATAGAGACAGATCACAATTAGGCAGAAAGGCAGGCACAGAGAGAGGGGGAAGCAGGCTCTCTGCTGAGCAGAGCAGAGAGCCTGATGCGGGGCTCGATCCCGGGACCCTGAGACCATGACCTGAGCTGAAGGCAGAGGCTTAACCCACTGAACCACCCAGGCACCCCAGAAGAGTTTGTTCTTCAAAATTTTGGTCGTTGATGTACATTTTTTAAATGCCGTAGGAATTAAAGTCTGAGTGCGGTGCTGTACGTTTAAGCAGATGAGCCTTCTGGAGAGAACTAGAGAAGCCAACTTTTTCAGAAATGGAAATTTCAAAACCGTGTGTGTGTGTGTGTGTGTGTGTGTGTGTGTGTGTGTGTGTGTGAAGGAAAGAAAAGGAAAAGAGTGAGCAACCGAGATTCGGCTGGGAATATCTACTGTAGCTATAATAATTTTAGCAGCAGAGCAAGCTGTAGATGATTATTAGCCTGATAATATTTAATCTTCATGTGTCATTTGGTGCATATGAAGCAAGTTGCCATTGTCCCTAAAAAGGAATGGGGCCCTATAAAAACATTGTAAAGAGACTGGGATAGTCTAATGAGCGTCACTGATAGAAGACCACTCAGCAGTACCATCAGAGTTCGCTGGCCAGCCAGCCTCGTGGAAGCCATTGACATGAAAGCTCCCAGGATAAATTGGTTTTTCCCAAGGGCCCAGAATGAAATTTAGAAATAAATTTCAAGCACCTGCTTTCTGGAAAGAAAAGTTGTGGTTGCCAGCCTGGTTTCCTGGTTCTATCTGAACTCTTTATTGGGCTTCTATATATTTCTTGACAAGCAGATGGGATTTGAAATCCCGAATCACCTCTCGCCTTTTAACTCACTCTTTTTTCTCTTTCCTTGGGACAGGACCTGTTTACACTGGGCATGTAAGCGCAATCACGGTCAGGTGGTCTCCTACTTATTACAATCAGGAGCTGACAAAGAGATTCTTACGACAAAAGGAGAAATGCCAGTACAATTGACATCAAGGAGAGAAATCAGGAAGATCATGGGAGGTGAGTCTGTGTTGGGGGCAACCTCTGATTTTGTCAAACTAATTTAAGACTCACAGTGTTGTTGGCCGCGATCCTGAGGCCACTCAAACCGCAAATCTGTTTTTAAAAGCAGAGGTAATATTACCGTGCCAAGATAGCAATTCCGTGTGGTTTCCAGACAAGGCGCTACCAGGTTTTATTCTTTTAATCAGTAAAATTTAAGGTGATAAAAATGGCGATCATAAACCTGATGAAACGCTTTTTTTCTCTTCTGATTTGAAGAGGCGGTAAACATTGAACAAAATATGTCACAGACCACTAGCTTTCACAAGACGCTTCTTCCCTGGTGATTTTTAAAGGGCTGTGTAAATGTTACGCATTTTCTTCTTTGTAAGTGGAAGAAGATGATGGTGCTGACAGCCTCCCCCAGCTGAAGAAGGAGTCAGAACTGCCCTTTGTTCCCAACTATTTGGCCAACCCAGCCTTCCCTTTCATCTACACCCCTGCGGCAGAGGATCCAGGCCAGCTACAGAACGGGGGTCCCTCCACACCGCCGGCATCGCCCGCTGCAGATGGCTCTGCTCCATTGCTCCCCACGGGGGAGCCTCCCCTGGCTGGGGCCTTTCCACGGGACCACACCTCTTTGGCACTGGTTCAGAACCGGGACGTGTCTGCCCCCTCTGCCATACTCAGAACACCAGAAAGCACAAAACCGGGTCCTGTCTGTCAGCCACCAGTGAGTCAGAGCCGCTCGTTGTTCTCTTCTGTCCCGTCCAAGCCACCAGTGTCTCTGGAGCCTCAAAATGGGACATATGCAGGCCCGACGCCAGCATTCCAGCCGTTCTTCTTCACGGGGGCATTTCCATTTAATATGCAAGGTAAGCCTGCGGCGGGAAGCAGCCTTCGCTGCGGGCCAACCGGTGTCCAGAGGTCTAGTGATGCACTTCTTGGTTGGGGGCGGGAGGGTGGAAGGGGCAGTAGGGGGTGAGATTTATGTAGGTATTGAGAATCTAATCGCAGAGTTACAGAAATTTTGCAAGACTAGTTTAAGGAGCTCTCTTTACCCAGATTCACAAGTTGTTTATCTTGAAATAGTTAAGTATGTATTTTCCAAGAACAAGGGTGGTCTCTTGCATAAGCACCGTCCAGTGATCGAATTCAGGAAATTAACCTTGCTACATTACCATTCTCTAATCCAGGCCGTATTCAGATGTTGTCAGTTATCTCCATGGTGCCCTCTGGCGGCTCTGTGCTCTCCCTCCACCTCTGCCCCCTACCCCCTGCCCCCTGCCCCCTGCCCGGAGTCACCCGTTGCATTTAGTTATCCTGTTGTTCCATTTTCCTTTCACGTAGAAGGTTCCTCAGCCTTTCTCTGTCATTTTGGTCCTCAGTATTTTTGAAGAATCCAGGCCCGGTATTGTGTAATATGATCCCCTATCATCTTTCTCTACATACTAGTCGCTATTCTACTGTAAAGAAGGACCTTCCCTTAGCCTCCATATTTTATATCAGTATGAACTCGTAGTTTCTTTACATTAGGTTATAATTCATTACTAGCATTATCTTGATGTTCAAATTACACCAAATCTGTCCAGAGGGAGCCCCTTCAAGCCAGTTCTCATGTCGCATGGACATGTCCCATCATTCTTGGAGTGTGTCCTTTCTGGTGTGGCAAGAAGGTCCAGGCTTCCAGTGTAACTTTCCCTACCCCAGCCCCAGAAGCATCTGTTTCTCCAAGGAGCCCTGGTTCCTTCTGGCAGAGAGTGGTGTTCAGATATGAGGCTGTGCACACCGGGTGCACTTAGACTCTAGCTATGTCATGCCTTCTAGGTCTACACGGAGGACAGAGCTAGGAAAGAAGTACATTCAGGTGCTGATAGGCGTGGCCTAGAGCTGCCATGAGGGATTCATACGTAAAGAGCAAAGCAGAACCCACAGACCCATGTAGGTGCTTGGCGTGGGCCATCTTGGCAGCCAGGCTCAGAATTTTAGGGACGGAGGGCTTAGATCCCAGACCCTTGAATAATAGTGCTTATTCACTCCCAAAGCCCAGATTCTTTCCATGCTGAGGTATACTGCATTCAGATCACAGTTAGACTGTCTTTCTTATTAGTAGCTTATCTTTCCGCTGTCTTACTGTGTTTGTTGCAAGGAATGTCATCATTCATCGATACCTTTATATTCACACGTATTAAGTCCTTTTAGAGTCACTCCTCTCCCATACCTTGCCTGTGCCTTCCTTTCATCTCTCTTCCCCTGCCCTGCTCCTGTGTGGTTTGATACCCAAAGCCACCTGTACACCTTCACCTGTGCTCCAGCAGCAAAAGTAAATTGTCCTTCCGCACACTGGATGGTTGTCTCGCCCCGCAACGCTCCCCCCTTTTGCTCAGTGAACTGCAGTCTTCCACGTAGGGCAGGCAGTGCAGGAGAGTGGCGGCGGAGCCGGAAGTGGAGCTGAGCTGACCCTGCCAACGGGGCTGGCTTCTCTCACGGGGTGGTGCAGGCCTTTGGCACGGGACATAGTTATGTAGAACCGTCTTCTGGGGAAGATCTTAAATTACATGGGCTGATGGTGCAGGCCTCATCCGTGAACATTTCTCTCTCTCTTTTTCTTAGAGCTGGTACTCAAGGTGAGGATTCAGAACCCATCTCTTCGAGAAAATGATTTCATTGAAATTGAACTGGACCGGCAGGAGCTCACCTATCAAGAATTACTCAGAGTGAGTTGCTGTGAGCTGGGTGTTAATCCAGATCAGGTGGAGAAGATCAGAAAGTTACCCAATACTCTGGTAAGAAAGGTAAGGAAGGTCTGTTAAGCACGAGTGGTTGGTGGCTTTTTGCATTTGGAAAATACCCAGCTTCCTCCTTGGCTGTGTGAATCATAGTTGAGAACTGAAAAGAGACTAGACAAGGACCAAAGGGTGGTTTTCCAGCCGCTGTCATTGAGCTTTCTTTCCCTCTACTGCGTCTACAGAGACGTGACATTTTTGAAAGTTGTAGGATACCAGAGAGAATGTTCTGAATTATAATTCCCATGTACCCATTTTTGGTTGGTTGTGGGGTGATAGGTAAGGGTCACTCTACTGCACTATCAGATACGGCCAGTGTTAAGAACCAGGTTAGATGATAACACAAATCCACATGGACACGTGTGTGGTCCTCCCAGCATCCATGGCGTCTCAGGGCACCTGGGGAGAACAGATCCGAATGGCCTCTCGCTTCAGGGGGTGCTCATCCTGGAGCAGCTGCTGGTAAGGGCTTCCGCCTCCATGCCAACCCAGCTCATACCCCCAGGGACTCTCTTGCCCTGTCACCCACAGCCTGCCACTGGGATCTTCCTCTTCTCCTCCCCCCGCCCTCCTCCTCCTCTTCCCAATCCTCCTCGTCTTCTTCCTCCTCCTCCCACTTCTCTTCCCGAGCCTCCTCCTCCTCTTCCTCTTCTTTCTCTTCCTCCTCCTCTTCCACTCCTCTTCTCAACCCTCTTCCACTCCTTTTCTCGACCGTCGTCCTCTTCCTCCTCCCCCTCTCCTCCTCCCCCTGCTTCTCCCCCTCCTCCTTTTTCTCCCTGGCTTTAAAATGAGTGGAGAGCCCAGCTAGCTCAGTCGGTAGAGCATGAGACTCTTAAAATGAGCTGAGATACTGGTATTGACACAACACACCAAACATATAGAGACAAGTGACTGCTCTTAACATGCCCAACCTATTTTGTTTTAGGATAAAGACGTTGCTCGACTCCAAGACTTCCAGGAGCTGGAACTGGTTCTAATGATAAGTGAGAACAATTTTCTGTTCAGAAATGCTGCATCCACACTGACTGAAAGACCTTGCTACAACAGGAGAGCTTCCAAACTGACTTACTAATGCAGCAGGGACTTTCCCCGCTGAGTATTGTGACAGTGCGCGTCCCCTCTGGGCCAAGGACCAGCCATGGATGGAAATGCCTTGGGCGCCACTGTGTAGCATACACTAACATCATTCTGCCAAGGTAGGAGGCCCCCCCCCCCCCAGCAGCGGTGCCACTCTTCCAAGCCTCTTGGTGCACAATAAACCTATTGCTTGAAGCTGTGAACAGCTGAGAAGTGGTCTGGAGAGGCAACAGCCGGCAGTCCCGAGTCCACAGTGAGCTGTCCACGCAGATACCGAGAGGGCGCGGAGCCTGTTCGCAGGGGCGCCTGCAGGGCGAACATGCTCTCTTGGTGTCGCCTCCTCCCGCCTCTCCGCAAGGAGGAGCTGGCCACAGAGGAAACTGGGGAAAGCACAGGTACTGGGCAAAAGAATTTTCGTGTGACTAGTGGCTGTGAGGTTTCACATACCCTACTTATAAATGTTACTCAGGTTCAAAGTCTTTAAGAATTCAGTTTCCTAGTTGTACGTATGCTGTTAACCAAAAGAGCTGCCCCTCCCCCGCCCCTCCTTTGTGAGCCCTCAAGACTGCTTCCCCATCTCTAGGCCGCCATTGCCTGGACCGCCCTTGCTGCATTAACTCTGTGGCCGCTAGAGGGCTCTCTGATGCTTTCCAAAAAAGCGACCACTTTCTCTCCACCCCCCCCACCCCCCGCCACCCCTTCTCAATCTCTAAAGCGGTTCCTGTCCTCTCCGTGTTTAATTGCGCCGTCTGAGAAGAGCACAAACATGGCCGGCCCGTGTTCTCCACTTCCATTTCCCACTAGAAATGCAAAAGCAATTTTTGAAACTGAATCTGTTGCTATTTTAAAGGTTACTGTGGGAAACTGAGCTAAAGGAGTTAGCATCTTTATTTTTGTATCAAAGATAAAGGTTATTTTGAAATTATTAGGATTTTTACACAACTCTGAAACCTGTTGCTTTTTGTAAACAAATTGTTTGCTCTTAGGGCTCCCCCACTACCACCACCAGTCCACTTAACAAAGCCAGTCGAGAGCTTCCTGGGCTTTGTTCTGGAAGACACCTGATTAAACTCTGGAGCATGGCACACGAATGTTTCTTTAAAGAGCGCATTCAAGAATTCTTTTTCTCTCCTTCAGTGTCATTAATGGTAAAAGAGCCACTGTCTTGTTGAGACAAACAGCTTAACTTTAGAAGCAAGAACGAGCACACTTGGACAAACAGGAGGGCAGGGGTTCGAAGCCAGCTGAAGAGCATCCCTGCTGTCTTAAGAAGCTTTTTCCCCATAGTGCCTATAGTTTCCAAAGAAACTGAACTTCCTAACTGTGTTAATTTTATTGGAACACTGCGACTAATTGAGCGAGAACATGCAGAAGATGTCAACGGAAGAGAATGTTGTGCTAAGCGAATGGCCTCCCGCTGCTGCCTCAGGGCCGAGCTGAGGCCGAGGTGTTTTCAAGGCCAGCTTCACGGAGTCACTGTGTCCGGTGACTTACCCGTATTCCACTAGTTACTGATGTGACTTAATCACCCTTGTACAGTGTTTGCATCACTGAGTAAAGGTTACTTACTATCCCTTCTCTGAAGTGCTTTAAAGAAGAAACCTCCCTTGTGTTTCAACCAATCAGAAGCTAGTTTACCTAGACCTACTAACCTTTTTTCCTTCCTGTTGGGAAAAGTTACAATTTATTGATAACACGAAGGCTAGTTCTGTCGGAGGAAATAATCCAGTATTAATTTATGTCTAAATCACTGGGGCAAAAACTCTTCTAGCCATCTAGATCAGTTAGAGACTCAGAGGCAGTGGAGGTCCCTGGCCCGGAGGTGGCCCCTACGGAGGAGTCTGTCCAGGGGCACTTCCCCTGAAACAGAGGTGAGAGTGAGGGAGGGGCTTGGCATCTCAGGGGAGGGCTGAGTTCTCCCCTGGCCTCCCTTCTCCTTCATCAGGTCTTCTGTAGTCAGCGTCTGGTGGTGGGATGAGACTGCACAGTTGATGGTAGGTGAGTTTAAAGTCTTAATCTATGCATTCAGAGAAATATTTTTATATGCTTTGTGTAATTTATAACAAGGACTTTTTTTTTTAGCTTTGTTAACTGTGACTTCACCCCTCTTCCACCGCATATTTAAAGCATGTGTTCACACTATGTGTAAACATTCACTGAAAACTTCTTTCTTTGTGCATTGCCGACTGTTCAAACATAACAAGTATTATTAAAAGCAAATATTAACGGACTGAGCCCATCTTCTTTCATTTCGGCCTCCTAAACAGCACGGCACTTCTCAGCCCAGGGGGTTCAAATTTCTGGACAGTCCCAGGGACACGACGCTCTGGAGGAAAAACACAAGGGAGCGTTCCCTCCACCGGAGCCGCCTCCCTCCCTCCCGCGGCTGCTGTGGTGCTCGTGGCCTGTCAGTGGCAGCTGGAGACGGGTGTTTTGTGCAGCGCCCTTCCTCCCAGTTCACAGCAGTGAGCTTCATTTCCCCGGAGTGGCTGAGCTAGATAGATGGAGGTCATCCTCTTTTAACCACAGGTTTTGATTATGCTATTTACTTTGTACAACTGAGCCTCTCCTCTGGGCTGTCAGCACCTGTCAGGACCTCTGAGAGCTCAGAAGCAAACTCCCAAGGCAGGAGAGGAAATACAGCCTTACACCTTCAGAGCCTCAGCCAAGCCTGCTGTCCGAGTGAATCCGCGTTCCTGTTGGTTTAGGGCGGCTGGAGCCTCACAAAGCAGACGTCATGCCAAATTGGCCTAATAAATCCAGGAACACAGCAGAGACCTTTTCTTAGCACCAAGGAGAGGCGGAATAATTCGGGCATTTGTGCTTTCATACTCGCTTTATCACAAGGATGGAAGTCTTCTTCCGTATACTCATAAACATCCTGGGCAGAAACAGGCTGCCAAAAAAAATGTGATTAACCTTTAACAAATGGTCCCGCAGCACAGGCCGACCCAAAAGGTAGAGGAGAACCAGATCAGAGGAGCCATCTCTGCACCTACCGCAAACCATTTAGGGAAGAAAGATAAACCATCACCTCCAACCAATCCCATCAGACAGCAGAAAGGTCAAAGAAGTGAGAGAGTCAGAGAAAACTCTAAGGTAACAAAGAAGAGAGATCCATTCCAAATAGGAGGCCTTATGCCAGATGGACTCTGACCTGCAGAAAATGAGTCCTCTGTTGGCTTGCTCGGACCAAATTTAATTTACCCCCTCAAGATGTATTTACCAGCCTGGGATTGGTGGGGGCGGTGGGGAGTGTGTGTGTGTGATGAGGCCCCCAGGCTTCTGTTTGCTCCCATATTCAGCTTTGGCCAGACAGAGGAAGAGGAGTGGCTTGGAGGCCTCGCTGCTTATGGGGACCTGTCTGGAACATTCTAAAGGAGCAAGGAAATGAAGCCCCATGCCCATCTCAGCCCCTAGAGGAGCAGGCTTGGAGGTCTGAGGGATGACATAAATGTGAAGGTGTTCACAGCAGCCTTCCCAGGAGGCCTTGGGTCAGATTTCAGGGGCTTTATTTCTTGCCTTTTTACAGTATCTGCACAGCAGAGCAGGAATTCCTGGCAATTACCCCGTGAATTTTGGCTGCGAAGACGATATATCTAGCCAAAAGCTATCGAGTCTGAAGTTTTCAGATAATTCCAGCCATGTGAATGTATGTAAAGTCTACCTCTACCACCTCTCCCCCTACCTCCCTGCCTCCCCCAAAGGTCCTAAGTCCCAAACCTTGTGAACAGGCAGAGGAAGGCAACGTCGGGGCATACGTATTGTTGACCATGTAGCTTTATTTCGTCAGTGCCCCGGTTTTAATGGATTCAGGCCAGCACCCCAGAGTACAGGACTGCGTTCCTGAGGACGGCCTGACCCGGCAGTCTGGTGTTCCAGGAGGAAAAAGCTCTACTTAAAAAAAAAAAAACCAAAAAAAAAACTACTTCAGAGTAGAAAATATGAAAAATCATACAGAGTAGAGAGGTCATTCCATGAGATGATTGAGAACAGCACAGCGTGGAAATAACACCAGGTTGGGAATCAGGAGACCCGGGCACCCATCTGGGCTCTGCCTTCAGCCAGCTGTGACCTCAGGTACTTCAGTCACCTCTAGGGCCCTGCTTTCTGCATTTAAAGCATTTTAAGCACAATTATTCTGGGAGGCACCCGACAGGGCAAAACTCCCAATGGATGCCCCCAGCCTCTGCTGTCAGAGTCCATCCTACAGACGTACTCGGAAAACCAGGAATGGCCGGGAGGAGGTCCCGGGAATGTATTCTAAGCAAGTCCAGCGTCTCTGGCCATCCCATAGAAGATGCCTCTGGCTGCAATGAGGTTGGCCGGAGAGTCAAATTCTGCTATCGTCCCTTTGTCCAGGACCAGGACCCTAGCCAAAGAGAAGAAGTGGTCAGGGCTCCATCAGCCTAGGCCTGGCGGTCGAGTCCACCCCATCCCATCCGGGGACCGCCCAGGCCCTGCAGTGACAGGCCAACCCTCCTGCTTCGGGCAACCCACCCAACACAGCTTCGAAGCCACACGTGCAGGTTTGCAAGGCTGGTTATTTTAGCCGCTCCCTTTGCTCTCCTGGCAGATGAGGTGGTTTCTGGGATCAAACACGAGGTTGCTATTCATCTCTGCTAGTCGGGGCTCCGAAAAGCTTCCTTAATGAGCCCTTCCCTCACTGGGGTCGCAGGACTGTGCTCAGGGAGCCATGGGCCTGTGTGCTAGCCCCTGCGCAGTTCCATCTGCTTTGTGCCAAGTCACAAAGGCACACGGCAGGGGACCAGGCTGTGCTGAGGCCTGACCCTGGAATCTGGGACTTTGGCTGCTGCTGATGGGTGGATCTATATGCACGCGCTTGCACACACACACACACACACACACACACAGAGTCAGGCCTGGGCTTGGGATTCCAATCCCCTGCCAAGGAAGCACAGGGTGCACCTGGGGCGGGATCAGCAGCCTGGCTACCAGGGAGAGGCAGGTGCAGAAAGGGCTCTCTTGAGCCCCAGGGAGATGCCCCTCGATGGGAGGGGATGGCCAAACTCTGCTTCCTTATCTAGGGCTCCCGGAAACTTGTTCTGGGAGGAGTGTGTCTGAGCACATCTCTGCCTGGCCACTGCCTGAACTAGAGCCTGCAGACGGCCCCTCCCCCCTTCAGTGGTTTCTCACTGTTCTTAGGGTGAGGACGGATGACTCTACCACAGTTCCCGAAGTGTGGCCTAGTGGGGCCTGTCCCTCTCACCTCCTCTGCTTGGTTCTACTGCCCCCTTCACCCTGCACGCTCCAGCCTCACGTGCCTTCCTACCCCAGGGCCTTTGCATGTGTTGCATCCTTTGCCTGACATTTGTGTCCATACCCCATTTCATCCACTCCCTAACTCTTACTTATCCTTTAGGGCCTGGCGGACACTTCCTCTTCTTAGGAGAGTTAGTGTTCTGGCTGCCCTTGCAGACTGGCTTCCTCCCATCTACACACATGGACCCCTACTTCCTTCCTCCAAGCTCTAGTTATACATTCAATAGCATGATTGTCGGATTCATTTCCATCGGTCCCAGCAGAATGAATGAACTCCCAACCTCCCAGGCTGGTTTGAGCCGTCTACCCTCAAGGCTGCTGGTGAGCACCATTTTCAGTTAGGCCTGGGGACAGACTCTCTCAGCCCCTCCTTGTCCCTTGTCTGGACCCAGGGCCTAGCACCTCCTGTCTACCCTTTCCTTTCTCAGTGGGGTGCCGGATGAGAGTGGGGGAGGGATGGAACAGATGGATGGCAGCATCGGGCATTCTCAGCTTGGTTCTCAAGCCCCTGAGGGCTGTGTGGGGACACATCCGAGACAGGGACAAGGTCTGCCCCATCGTCCAGTCTGTGGCATCTTCCCGTGTCCCCCTGCTATGAGGGTTTATGTTGTGAATGGACACCTGTAGCTGTGCTCCCCCCACACTCCTTCAACACAGATTGGCTGCAGCTTCCTCCCCTTCATCCCCCGGAGCTCCCACGTCTCCGAGGCGGCCAGTCTGCCAGGCCAGCGCCGAGTCACTTCCCTGACACTTCTGACCCCTCAGCCCCTCATGCTGTCCTCCAGCAGCGAACCTTAGCACTGGACACAATGAGGGAATAGGTTTTCCTTTCCCAGGTTTTCCTTTTGGCTGAGCGGCTGCCTCCCCAGGGAAGGCGTAAGATCTAGAGGGCAAGGCCCCGTCCCTAATCCTTAGATGCCCTGGTGCCAGGGAGGGTTAAAGAAAGGGAGAAAGGGGCTCATTGACTCCCTACAACAACCCCGAGACAGAGAGAGAGAAAGAGAGAGAGAGAAAGAGGTTGGTTTGGCCCCTTGGCCAAGGTCACAGGGGCCCAGCAGCTGCAGGGGCTGGAACTCAGCCTCCCCGGCCCCGCTCCCCGAGCTCTCACCACAGAGCATCTGCCTCCCACAGTGCTGTCAGGTCCAGCCCCCCAAGGCAGGGACCTGAGCATCGTGAACTTCTCTCAGTGGCTTCCTCATCTGTATGCCCCACTCAGACTGTGGGAGTGAGGTACGAACGAGGGGTGCGGGCCCTAAACCCTGGGGCCCAGGGAGTGAGAGTATGGCCA